ATTTCTAATATCTTCTGGAAGTTTGTCTTTGTTGCTCCATGTTTAGCCTCTACAGTATGGTTATATGCTGTAAATCTTTTTGATGGTTGCCAGCATACCCTCATTGCTGAGGAGTACTGTTATGAATCTTTAGGGAAGGATCGATTCACAGGGCGATATATAAATCAGCTTGTTAAAGGGAGGCTGAAACCTTATAATTCATTAAAAGAGAACTCCGATCTCTTCAGCTCTTCAAAGGGAGACTGAAACCTTAGAGTTCAATGGAAGAGAGAACTCCGATCTCTTGTTTTTTGCTTAATTATGACTTACTGATTTATTCATCAAAAGCCCCTTTAAATAGGAGTCTTATTACATCAATAGGAAGTCTAATTCTTATGAAAGTAGGAGACCTAAATCCTATTCCAAACTAATAACTATAACTTAACCTAATCCTTATGAAACTATGAAACATAAATCCTATTGTAGAATAATAAATAAAACAACTAAAAATATAATTAAATACTTAATTTAAGGGCTTCCAACGCATCCATAACATTACCCCCCTCTTACGTTGAAAGAGCTTGTCCTCAAGCTCGAATTTCACGGCAATCATCAACTTATCCAATTCCAGACCTAGCTTGACGTTGACATTGATAAATTTCGACTCTATCAGTTTGCTGAAGCATGACTAATTTGTCCATCAGATTGCTACTTTCATGAGGTCCAAATCGCTGATATTCTTCCCAACTCATTGAGTATTTCGCTCGTTTAAGTTGATAATACCATAATGGTGCTAGTCCGAACATGTGAAATCCAACCACACCAATCTTTTTTGCTATCATTGTATGTTGATTTTTTTCAAAAAAATGTTCACAACGATGTGCTCGAATTAATGGATTATTGGTGCCGTTATAAGTAGGTGGTGTATTGCCTTTGGTAGCAGGAATTGTTGATCTGCTAGTTGTCTGGGCACTATTTGACTCAGGTTTGTGGGTTGCTGGTTTTGTGTCGTTAATTCCCAATCTAGACAATTGTTCTTGGATGACTTGGACGACTTGGACAATTCTTTCGATGAGGCGTTGTTCCATTGCTGCAATTTTAGAATCCATTAGGGTTTCTATAATGGTATGTTCTCCTTGAAATCGAGAACTGATCTCATCGCCCATTGTGTTAGGCTCTGATACCAAATTGTTATGAATCTTTAGGGAAGGATCGATTCACAGGGCGATATATAAATCAGCTTGTTAAAGGGAGGCTGAAACCTTATAATTCATTAAAAGAGAACTCCGATCTCTTCAGCTCTTCAAAGGGAGACTGAAACCTTAGAGTTCAATGGAAGAGAGAACTCCGATCTCTTGTTTTTTGCTTAATTATGACTTACTGATTTATTCATCAAAAGCCCCTTTAAATAGGAGTCTTATTACATCAATAGGAAGTCTAATTCTTATGAAAGTAGGAGACCTAAATCCTATTCCAAACTAATAACTATAACTTAACCTAATCCTTATGAAACTATGAAACATAAATCCTATTGTAGAATAATAAATAAAACAACTAAAAATATAATTAAATACTTAATTTAAGGGCTTCCAACGCATCCATAACATTACCCCCCTCTTACGTTGAAAGAGCTTGTCCTCAAGCTCGAATTTCACGGCAATCATCAACTTATCCAATTCCAGACCTAGCTTGACGTTGACATTGATAAATTTCGACTCTATCAGTTTGCTGAAGCATGACTAATTTGTCCATCAGATTGCTACTTTCATGAGGTCCAAATCGCTGATATTCTTCCCAACTCATTGAGTATTTCGCTCGTTTAAGTTGATAATACCATAATGGTGCTAGTCCGAACATGTGAAATCCAACCACACCAATCTTTTTTGCTATCATTGTATGTTGATTTTTTTCAAAAAAATGTTCACAACGATGTGCTCGAATTAATGGATTATTGGTGCCGTTATAAGTAGGTGGTGTATTGCCTTTTGTAGCAGGAATTGTTGATCTGCTAGTTGTCTGGGCACTATTTGACTCAGGTTTGTGGGTTGCTGGTTTTGTGTCGTTAATTCCCAATCTAGACAATTGTTCTTGGATGACTTGGACGACTTGGACAATTCTTTCGATGAGGCGTTGTTCCATTGCTGCAATTTTAGAATCCATTAGGGTTTCTATAATGGTATGTTCTCCTTGAAATCGAGAACTGATCTCATCGCCCATTGTGTTAGGCTCTGATACCAAATTGTTATGAATCTTTAGGGAAGGATCGATTCACAGGGCGATATATAAATCAGCTTGTTAAAGGGAGGCTGAAACCTTATAATTCATTAAAAGAGAACTCCGATCTCTTCAGCTCTTCAAAGGGAGACTGAAACCTTAGAGTTCAATGGAAGAGAGAACTCCGATCTCTTGTTTTTTGCTTAATTATGACTTACTGATTTATTCATCAAAAGCCCCTTTAAATAGGAGTCTTATTACATCAAAAGGAAGTCTAATTCTTATGAAAGTAGGAGACCTAAATCCTATTCCAAACTAATAACTATAACTTAACCTAATCCTTATGAAACTATGAAACATAAATCCTATTGTAGAATAATAAATAAAACAACTAAAAATATAATTAAATACTTAATTTAAGGGCTTCCAACGCATCCATAACAAATACAACTTTACTTTATCAAAAAAAAAAACAATATGGTTATATGCACTAGGATAAGTGAAAGAGATTTGGAGTTCTGTAGTTTTTGAGAAAGATATTTTGTTCATTTGATCCACAAAATATCAAAATGTTTCTTGGAATCCTTTATTTATTTGTATGTAATGCAGTTTCGAGTTGTAGCTTCTTTTTCCTTGTAATTTATCCGAGTAAATTTAATGAAAATCCATACTTGCAGACTTGCAGACTTGCAGAATGTTTCAGTTTTTTCTTGTTAAGTGTTTGTTTTTCTCAATTTCAACATTTCTGTTGCTTTTGGCCTGAGTTTGATAGAGTTTAAGGATTGCAAATGAGCTTGCAAGTCCATTTACCTCTATGAATATGTAACTACGAAGTTCACAAAAAAGTTCTAGTTTCTTCCCATTGTTCACAATCATTTTTTGGCCTCTGTCTTATGTTTGTATTGTGTGGTATATCTTCGTGTTTGCGTGAACCAATATTCATAGATTTATCGGTTCTGTTGTTTTCCACTTACGCTGCTTTATATCATGTGATGCAGAGGCTGAGCAATAAGATCAACTACGATGTGCTAGAGAAGCTTTTTGATGATTCTGTATGTGCTTCTCCTACTCCAAAAATTCTTGAGAATTCCTTTATACCTTCTGCTGTTACTTTCAATTTTGCTTAGATGCCAATTCCTTTGGCGGAGTATTGTTTTATTTTTTAAAAAAAAAATCTTCAGTTTTGACCTTATTAGGTATATGGAATCTTGGGTGTTGGGGGTGGATGGAGATGGCTGGTATTTGAGACATCATTATGCATAATATTTGGATATTTAAGAAGCTGGGAAGTACTTAAATAATGAAAACTTAGTTATGCTGCATCAAAATATTGTAGAATTTTCCATTTTTCCAGTTCTACTGCTTGCCCAATTTGTAATTACTGGGAACTGCATGTGAGAAACTCTATTATTACAAGCGTAAGTTTTGTATCCTAACCCTTTCCTCTGTAAAGGGAACTGAGTTACAGTTTCTTGAAAAGGAGAAATGTATGGTTTATCTTTAGTTGGGTTCCGGATTTTCTTGTGATCAATATAAAAAGATTTGACAACCAAACACACTCATAAAATTAGGAAGAGAGATAAGAAACCTTGAAACTACAAGTCCTAGTAGAACTTCTGTAGTACCCTGAAAATTTATAGTTACATGTGTTCATCTAAAGGACAAATTACACAAATCCTTTGGCTTATTGCTGTCATAACTCATCTCCATATATATGTGCAACTCATGGTCATTTTATTTATGCAGTTACCTGAGAACCCAAAGAAAGCTCGAACTGCATACGATTCAACAGATGATTACGGGGTAAAGAGCGACAAATTTGATCCAGAAGTAGATGAGAATTATGAAAACACATTTGGCGAGGATGTGCATTATGGTGAGGATGTTGGAGGATATGGCTATGATCAAGACTATGATTTGGATGATTATTGAATTAATCTGCCTTCCATATGGCTGGTTTCCCCTTAAGAAACAGAGGATACAAGATGTCAGATAGCACATTTTCCTTCACTTGTATTAGGAACTGTTGGGATGGCTAACTGCATCTCAAAGTTATTTTCTTTTTAATTATCATTGATTAATTTATTTTCTGGGAACACTTCCCATTGCTGGAATGTTAAAAAGTGTGTATCAGCTTTACTTGTGAGAGAATTCGGTTCTTTCTTAGAATAAACGTTTGCATTATTGAAATTGAATCTGGTAATCTGTTCTGTCTTGATAAGAATGTGCCGCCACGACTTGGAGGGTATGTTTCATACGTGAAGGGAAGTCTTTCTTTTCCGAGCCGTTCCAGTTTTATAAAGTAAAAAAGTATATCTCCATTTTAAAGCTGGAGATCTTAATCAGCTTTCCTTTCTGCTGAAACCTACTTGACTCTGAAATACTTAACCTTTTCACAAGGGAGAAGAAAAGTAAATAAACTACAGAACCAGTATCTTTCACAACAGACTTGATGTCACATAGGACTAGTAACATTTCTATAAATTGAAATCGTTATATTTTTCAAATAACAAACGTGCAATATAGCATGCTAGTTTTGTAAGTTTTAACACAAATGTTGTTAATAATCGAGCAGGCTTGTTGAACTTTCATACCTCAAAAAACAGCTAATTGAAAAATATATGAGCGCTTGTGACCTCAATATAAGACTTTGAGGCTACAAAAAGGACTTAACGCATTCAAAATGGTAATGTTGCATATTATTAGTTGTTGAAATAATAATAATTTTCAGGCAGTAAATCTGAAAGGGAGGAGTCATTTTGCTAGCGTAGACACCTCTATCTAAGATCAAGAAATCATTTTCATCGAACTAAAAAAGAATAAGTGGCGATGATCCACATACACAACACTGCTAAACACATAACAGAATCCAAAAGCTGTCTAATATACAATACAAGGATGACTTAAACACCCCTCACTTTAGTATGTATCCATCGTCTTGGCATATTGCAAGTTTTCTGAAAAATATTAATGAATCCATGGCACACTCGAGTGATTCGTATTGCAAACACCATGTACAGAATACCAGGCATTGCACAATTTTAGATGAATCTCTCCTCTGCCCTATCTTGTGCCAGAAGTACATGTCAGACAACAAACCTGCTTCAGAGAGACCAGCAAAAAGAAATTTAACTTTCTAGAAATCAATCTTATATGATTACAAGGAACTATCCGTCAGAACTGGATGACACCCCCATACTGTGTAAAATATGCAAGAAATATATGACACAAGATAAAAGAATTACTATTAAATTCTGTCTTCTTCTTTATCTGTGGCAACCTAGAGATGCCATCATCTCAGCACTTGAACAGGATGAAGCTTCTGCATGCTATTTCTTCCTTTGAGCAGCCTGTGATAAGTTGAAACCGTATATGTAAGGAAGTTCCTTAAAAAAATACTTTTAGGATGGACAACGACATACTGAAAAATTTCTTTCTAAACTATAAAGGTAAGGAGAGATGAGTAAAATGGAGCAGTTTGTAACAATAACAGTAACAATTCCACAAAGGAGAAGTGAAACGAGAAACTCTTTCAACTCCTCAAATCAACTCAATCTGTCCTCCTTTCTTTTCCCTTCCATTTTTCAGTACAAGCATGGATATTTTCTTTCAGAGCACCAGCGAAGTTGTATCTGACCTCAAAATTAGGTAATATATGTAAAAGATGAAACCCAATTGACGGCTTCTCGCTGATTTGGTTGTGTTCCACTCCATTCATGCACCTCTCGACCCTCCGAACATACTAGCAAAGCACATTCTTTTTTCTTTTTTTTTTGAAAGAAATCAATTCATTTCTCCAATAACATCATCTTGTGTGGTTGAATGTAGAAAGTCAAAAGAGCAGTAAATGGACAGGTTATACTACCTAATTTGATTATAACCTCACTTGTTGACAAAATAGAAAAGTTAATAGAAGTCATCCATCAAGCTTTCCTGCAGTCTAGTCTCAGTAGCAACCAGTAGCAGAATCAGATTTTCCTAAAGCCTATGCAGCAATTTAGCAGTTAAAACAACCCTACTGAAATAATACTTCCTTCTATCACTTAGCAAAGTCAAGCCCTATCAGATTTCCTCAGCAGAAAACATTCATACATACTACTTTTTTTAAATAGAATTTAAGATCCCTACCCAGAAAACTTCCCTAATATTTTAAGTCACAAACAAACAAACAACTTCTGCTGGAAGCGCACAGGCATAACTTCAAAAACTCTTTACAATTTTTTTTATAACCCTTTTTACATAAAAGGTTCCCCTCCTAGTTACAGATGCAATTACTACTCTTAATAAGATTAACTTTGAGTTCTTTTCAACCATAGATACATATTCAGAAGGATTTCAACTTGAGGTAAAAAAAAAAAGACAACAAATTCAGATAGAATAGACCTATTTGCGAATTCATTACAATCTACAGCACTGTATAAAAGGATATATCAGAATGTAAAACAACAGTTTAAAGCAGTTCATACCTTCCTCATTTTTTCCAATACCGAGTCTTCAAATTTCTGGTATCCAGCACCTACAAGATTACTCAAACTCGGGCCCTCAGATTCTCCATTTTTCTCAGCGTTAGGAAACGGAGATGGCATTGGAGGTTGGAGAGGCACAATTAAGAGAGGATTTGATAGATCCCCCAAGACATTTCCACAAGAAGCTCTCTAAAAAAGGGAAAAAAACGTTACTGATGTATTCCAAACAGTAGAGATGATCAATTAAAATCAACACTCAATTTCATTATATTAATCAAGAATCAGTACTCAATTTCATAAAGTACTCACAGCTGCGTCTTTAGATGACATGACAACAAGAGCAGAGCCTTTCTTCTTAGAACTCTTGATTACTACATCTTCAACCTCACCAAACTCACTAAACAACTCTCTTAGTCTTTGGGCAGTATAGTCCTCACCGATCTTCTCCCAAGATACCTTAAGCACCTTTTCCCTGTCTACACTACTCCCATTGCCTTCTGTACTACTCTCCTTAGCTCTAGCATGTGCCTCTTTCTGTAAAGGATCTATAGGAGTAAACACTTTCTTTGAATGCATTGCACGAATTCGAGCAATTTCCTCCTTAAGTTTTCTAGCAATTCGTTCCTCCTCATCTCGAGCTAGAACACTTGCATCAGGTGAAAAAGCAGCACGCTCTCTTGCATCGAGATCTGACATCATCTTTCTACGCTTTGAATCGTGTTGTGATTGGCGTTGGATCTTCTCACGTTTCACACGAAGTAGATCATCAAATAGCTTCCTAGCTTTCTCATCCTTGAGAATCTCGTATGAAGTTTTCAGCTTTTGAAAGTTCAAGTGAGCATTTGGGTCATCACGCCTCTTGTCTGGATGCAACTCTAATGCTTTCTTCTTATAGGCTTTAGATATGTCTTTCTCAGAAAGTTGGGCCCCTTCCTCACCAGAGGGTAAACCCAAAGCAACATAATGATCAACTTCAATATCCATTTTCTACCCCGGACTTTGAACTGTGCAACAGATTCAAACCAACTGCATCAGACAAACTATAAGATTAAAACTACAAACTGAAATAATTGACAATCATAAACTTTTCAAGATAGATTTTAGCTAGCTAAGGAGAGACTTAACCAATGACACATCAATAGATTGATAAAGGTACCATTCAGCAGTTTAACAAGTTCTATTAGTGTAGATCTAGATCCTGTCACTGGTTCTATTCCCAAGTTCATTGATATTATAGATAGGGTAACAAATGATTTGGCTTGGAAAAGTTAAAAAAGGACACGTGGAATTAAATAACATAATAGAAAAACCATTTGTGAACAGAACTTCAATAAGCTTCATGTATATTATTACTAATAACTATTAAAGATTATAAATAGGAGAAGATCCAAACAGGAATATTGATGCAAGAATTAGCCACAACTTCAAGAATTATCAAGGTCATAGGTTGTAAGGCAACAACAACAACATACCCAGCGTAATCCCATAGTGGGTCTAGGGAGGTAAGAGTGTACGCAGACCTTTCCCCTACCCCAAGGTAGAGAAATTACTTTCGGAAGACCCTCAACAATGCATATCAAAGCAGTTTGGAGAAAAAATACAGAAGTACGGAGGACATAGCAAATGATATGGAAAACTTCACATGGCATTCAAAAAATAGAATGAGCAACAATAGCCAAATAATGTGATAATCGAAGCACAAGAAACATGTAGTAACAAAAATCGCAGGACAAGAAACTACGAGAATAATGTTGCTACTACTGGTATGGAAGGAGAAACATGTGCGGAGCACCAATCTAGAAAGCAAGACAACACTAAACTACTTACTAACCATCTACCTCATATCCTCCTATCTTAGGTCATATCCTATTAAGCTCAAGATGTGTCATATCATGTCCTGTCTAATACTCTCCCTAAAACTTATCGGTATTCATCAATCCTATTGATGGGAATCTGCGCATCTCCTTTTCACATGTTCGAACCATCTCAATCTTGCTTCGCTCATCTTGTCCCCTTCCACCTTGCCCCAAATATATTCATTCCTAATCTTATCTCTCCTAATACGCCCACACATCCACTCATTCTCGCAAGTTTCACTTTTAGAACATGAGAGTTCTTAACTGGCCAACACTACTCCCCATACAACATAGTTTGCCACTTGACCTAACCACCCCTCCGTAAAATTTACCTTTAATATTAGTTATCTAAGTGAGGCGGCTATAATACAAATTTTTCCCTAAACTATCAAACTGTTGCTTAGCTTTTTCCTCCGCCAGAAATTGGCAACAAAAGTACCCTCATTGTTACCCTTCCATATCATATTTTCCCTTCTTCTCCACCTCAGCAAAAGAATCTTAGCCACTATTCACCATCGTCCACAAAAGTTCACACATAGATGACACGTTTGAGCCAATTTGGCCAGACAATACCAACTCCAACACCCATTGAGCCAACTCAGAAACCCATGCCCATGAGCGCATCCAACACTCTAGACAAAAAATATCCCAAATTCCCGAGAATCTGTCAAACCCCTTCGTGACTCCCTTTTCAGAGGCAGATGCAGTGCCTGTGATACGGGCTCATAGAGTAACTTCAGCTCAAAATTTGTATATACTTTTAAAAATTTACTAAATAAGTACAAATAATAGTTTTGAAATCCAGAAAATCGAGTGGATTTATGGTAGAATTCCGGACTCAAACCCATAGTATTTAAATTCTAGCAATGCTCCTCTTCTGTTTAGGTCAAAAGAAGTTGAGTTGACTCACAACCATATGGAATTCTACACACCTTGTTATATTCTTACCATGAAAGAAACAACAGATTGTCTCAGAAAAAGCACTACTTTTTTATTCTTCCAGCAGAAGAGGGTATACTATGAGAGAGGAGCCGGAATGGGAAGCTGGCAGATGAGATTCCAAAATTATTTAGTATGAGATTAGAAGCCTAGCTCATACAGTGCTCAAGATAGTTTAAAATCTAAAGAAAAGGGAAAACGAAGATCAAGCAAGGGAATTCTGTAAGATCAATCAACAACCTGCAAACACCAAAATGCAACAATAAGGTCATATGGAAACTCTAATTACATTTCCAAACAATGTAGTGACAGCACTTGGGATCAAAAAGACAAATAAAAAGTTTCAGGTGTGAATGAGAAGCAAGTATACAAGTGTGTATATTATGCACAACTATCAATCTTCTATAGATAAAAGAAGACATATCAAGAAGAAGAAGATGGAAACTCTAATTTCACTTCCCAGTTATACAGGAACAGGTACGATAAAAAAGAACAAAGAAGTTTCAGGTATGAATGAGAAGCAAGTGTACAAGTGTATAACAGTATACATTATGCACAACTGAAGCTTTTACCAGAAGAAAAAGATGGAAGCTCTAATTCCACTTCCAAATTACATAGTGACCGCACTTGGGATAAAAAAGAACACAAACAACAGGTTTCAGGCATGACTTAGAAGTAAGTTAATAGGTACATAACTAAATATGTTATGCACAACTAAAGCTTCATGCACTAATAAATTTTTAGTGTTAACAAGTGCATAGCTGTAACAAGTTAACAAGTGCATCACTGAATATGTTACACTGGAAATTATCCTCTGCACAGTGTACATACCAATTTACTGCCAGAATCACACTCAAACATTAAGACAATCATATAGAATAAGTTTTTGAAGAACTTCCTTAAAATAATACAGCATTTGCTTAAGTCCAGACTCACTACATATATTACCAATTGTCTAATGGGCAGCAAAAATGTGAAATTTTGGTGCTACATTACACCTGAGAGGAAAACAATAAGCTTTTTTTTTATTGTTGAGAATAAAACAAAAAGTATTTTCTTTTGTGCAATAACTTTGTCTTTTCACTCCACAACAGAAAGGCTAGTCATGCTCTCTACAACAACCTATCTATGACATGAAAAAGTGTAGCTTGAAAACAACGGCAGATCCACAATTTAAAAGGCCATGGGTGCTCATACACCCACTCAGCTCTATGGGGGTTCGTCCCTAGCTGCAAGAGAGAAGAACCAAATGTGCTAGTGAAAGGCAGTCACTTTACCTTGTGATAAAAAAGTAAGTATGTATTCCTAGGTGAGAAGATGTCAGGTGTGTTGTCGACGATGAACAGAGGAAAGACCAAAAAGGGTAAAATTAAAATAAAACGTGCAAATTAAGAAAAGGAACATGAATCATTTCGATGGGCATCTTTACTAATGACCTGTATCATGGGTGCTCACCACATATAAACTTATCACTAATGATCATGAGAAACACCAATTTTAAAGGCGACGCAATGACAGAATTATATAAAAGCAAGCTTAACCAATTATCTCCGACTGATATCAATATATGATCAAACTGAGATGGTCAATAGATGCTCAGAAAGTTACCTAAGGTGCATGACCTTTGAGATACCTAAGGAGTGGCCACAATGGTAATCCTTAGATGAATTTTGGTATAATACTTCTTACCACGCCTCTATACATATGACATCCTATGAAGCAGTTTATGGCCAGAAGCCATCCTCACTGCTTCCTTACATGGCATTTGATTCCTAACTGGATTTGGTTGATAGGAGGTTGAGGACAAGAGAAGCCACATTAAGGAACATTAAGTTCCACCTTGAGAGATCCTAGAGTAAAATGAAGTTGTTGGCTGATAAGGGGAGGACTGACAGATCCTGTAGTGTTGGTGATTGGGTCTATGTCAAATTAAAGTCCTACGGGGTATTATCCTTAAGGTATCATGCTTATCAGAAGCTTTTATCCATGTTTTTGGGACCCTTTAAGATCTTAGCCGGGGTCGGAGCTACTGCTGACACTTAAGAGTTGTCTATTGCCTCCAAGATCCACCCCAATTTTCACATTTCTCAGTTGAAAAGAAAGTTAGGATCTTACATTGCTTTTGCGACCCTGCATGTTGTTCAAACTGAAGTTGGTCCTGTCCTTTTGGAGCCTGAAGTAGTGTTGGATAGAAGATCGATCTAGAAGCATGAAAAGGCTACTCCTCAGCTTCTGATCAATGGTTTAGTACTGCTGATAAGGACAGGACTTGGGAGGACTATTCCTCTTTTGGTCAGCAGTTCCCTCACTTCAATCCTTGAGTACAAGGATTGTCTCAAGGGGAGGGTAGTTGATATGATCCTAATGTGTCCTCCTCAATTTGGATTGTAGAAGTTAGTTAGTTGTAGTTATAAGCCTCATGTGAGCTGCACGTGAGAGGTCCTGTTAGGTTGTTAAAACACTTAGAGTTAGTTATAACAGTTTTCTGGAAGTTCTTTTCCTATTCTTTTCAATTGTGTAGATTTCATATATGTAGTTAGTTCCTGTCAATTGTAATCATTCAGAAAGTAAATTAATACAAACATCTCCCTCTTTTCTCAATCAGTGTTTTCTATATCAATACGCAAAGTTGCTCAAGGGCAATTCTCAATTCATTTTTTCTTTAGGCTAGCTCAATATTTCCAATTCTACTTGTAATCACGTCACATCCACTAAAGAAGAAGAAGACGACATTAGAACAGGAGATGGAGGTTTTTTCTCTTTTGCCCTAAAAGACAATCTTTTATCGTCTATACTGAAGGTAATTAAAGTGAATAGTTTTCTATTATGTATCCAGAAGGCCATTAGTTCGAATAATTCAAATTCATGTGGCGTGCACAGGGGAATTATCAGACTCCGCAAAATGTAACACTGAATAATTATCAGACTCCGCAAAATGAGCAATCAAAGTATAAACGGAATCTATCAATACAAATATTAATAAAAAAAGATGAATATTGGATTTGATAAAGCAAACTATTTTGGAGTGACTGACCTTGAGTTGACGAATCGATGGTAGTAGCAATTGCAGACTGTACGAACAACCCTCGTAAGGAATCCCGAAACCAGTTTTAGCCCTAGCAAATTGGGAAAAGAACAATAAGATGTTGAAAAAGCAATTGCATAGTAAAATTAGATGACTTTAGTATTTAAAGACGGGGATTTAGCCCAAAAAAACTTACCAGTAGCCGTTGAAAACTCGGAGAAACTTGGTAATATGGCAACAACGTTTGGGTAGAGAACTGTCAGAGGTATGCTGGGGCGAATTCTGTAGACTATCTATTCCGGTGGTGTCTAACAAAGTCAGCGATGATGAAGTGAGTCTGAGGAAAACATAAAAGGAGAGCAACAGGGTTCTACTCCAGATATATAATTTTACAAGACCAAAGGCACAGTTGTTACCCAATCAGAACAAAAAGCACAAAAAGTAAGCTTCCAAAAAGACAATAAGCACAAGGAAAAACTGGGCTTGACCTTGGATGGCCGCAATAGAGTTAGCCGGAGAAAACGTCCGGGATTCCGGCGGGTGTGGACCTCCGGCGGCGATTAAGAGAACAAGTATCGGAGAGGTATTAGGCTTTTGAAAGGATAGATAGAGTGTCACTTTGATCCCTAAGGATTGTAATATTGAGATTTAAACCCTCAATTTTAGATTAATATATAAAGTGGTATGCCCAGTCCCACAGTCTCATAAAATAACAGTCAGGTAAATTTGGGAATTGATTCCTTATTTTGTTTATAGAATATATAAACTATATTATATGTTCCACAATTATTATTTGGTGACTTAACCAGATAACTTTTTTATAATTATTTTTACATCTAATTTCTTTTAGATATTTTGAATTGTTAATTATAATACTTTTCTATATAATTTTGTAGAAATTAAAAATCTATATTAAATTTACATGAAATTACGGGTCCGTTTGACCCTATGATATGAAATCATGAGACAAAATTGAAATTTTTGTTTGGACATGCAATTTGGAATTTTTATGTTATATGTTTTCTTATGAACATAAAAAGCTCATAAATTGTAAAACTATTAAAATTGTCCCAATTTTTATACAATCTTACTAAATATGCAAAAGCTTATAACTCACATAATATACTATTACAAAGTTATTCAAAAAAAAACATTTATTGATCAAACTTTAATTCAATAAAAAATAAAATTGAACATAAATTGTAGAGTCTTTAATATAATCCTCTCACATAGTACGGTTAATTTTCTCACGTTGAATTTGTGTTTCTTGATCATATGACCAAGAAGATGAACCAATAATTTTATATTGAGCCATTTATTGGTCAATTTGGTTGGTAAATAAATTTGATCAAAAATTAAAAATTTGGTGAATATAAATGGTAAAGTAGAAAAAGATTTAAAGTAATAATAAATTTTATGTTGATGAGAATAATCCTTATATGGTTACCTATTACAAGGTTTTAAAACTTCGTATATAGCTAGTTCCTTGGATGTTTGCCCAAACTAAGATTAAACTGTATATATCAAAATAACTACAACAATTATGAGTTTATCAAAATGTTTTGTTCCTTGCTCCTTCCTTGACTTAAGCATCAGTCGCCAAATTTTACTTCCTGTAGGCTGTATATAACAAAGAAAACTAACCTACCAAGTAGTATTAGCACAAAGAAATAACAACAAAGGCAAAAATGAGAAGAAAAAGCACACATTTTGCATTCAACGTAAAAACACATTACAACATCAGGTATCAAAACTCAAGGCTTGCACCGACATGCCTCTAGAATTATCGATCACAATTATATTTTTTTTTATTGTCATTATATCAAATTTGATTAGACTTTAGTACTGTATTGCGACGTTACATCTGGAAATGGTCCAACAAAAAGGAGCAAAACCTTAATGTATCCTAACCTAACCTCCAGATTAGTGCCTCTGCTGGAAAATGGCAGCATTCAGTATTGAAGCACCAAGAGAAAAGGGCAAACAGATACCAAAGAACTACATGAGGAATAAATCCAATTCTCTAGCTACCTAGAAAAGAAATAAGCTTACAGATGCTCTTTTGTATTTCATGATGAAATTTCAGAGACGAATTTCACTTGACAGATTCACCATAGTTGCTTTCTTGATCAGTGGATCAAGTTTGTCATATCTAGAACTCCTTCCGTTTTTACCTGGGCTCTACCACGACAGCTTGTACATTATAGCCAGGTAAGAAGCATTAATGGCAGAAAGCTTTAACATCTTCACAATATCACAATGGACTTCACTGTCAAGTTTTGTGGAGCTTGAAACCGAATACCCTGGGGACATAATTTTGTGTTGGTTTTTGTGGCTTGAGGTGTCCGTAAGTCATCAAATAGAGGTGTGGAAATGTTGTTCCAAAGTAAGCTCCATCGATATCTTGGGCAGTTAAAGAAATCATAATAGAGAATAGAAGTGCTCAAAACATGGCAAAGTAATGACTAATATTCAAGATCAATGAGCAAACTACCACAGAAAAGTGTGTGCTCAAGTTCCGTACAAGTGAAAATTGAAGAACGAGGAGAATCACAAAAGCAGAAACTTAGGAACAAAAATACACACAGCTCAACCACTTGGCATAATTGTGAAAAGCTTCAGAGTAAACAAAAGAAATGCATAAATGACGAGAGGAGACATATATTAAAAAGAGGAACTTCAAAAAGTGATAGCATAAAGGATACTGCCTTGGTACTTTGATCGGGGATAATAGATATCCTCACATCTAGGACAGTATATTTTTACTGTACTTGAACGTGGAATATCGGACTGACCAACTGGAAGGCAAGGCTGTCCACAGCAATAAACTCGTGGACATCTCCCAAAGTCATAGTTCTTGTACTTCTCTAACTGAAAAAGGGTTTTCCCAGAGTTTACACATCATGAGAAGTGAATAAAAAAAATGAAAGGAGACAACACAAAAGCAGATAGGTTCCTTGTGAAGCTGTAGTCCTAAGCATGGTTGGGTTTTTGTAATTGTAGATAGCACTGTTATGGTGCGGATCTAATACATATATACATGTTACCAGTTTCCAAAAAAAAAGAAAAAAGAGAAAGCTAAGCATAAGAGATCACCATTGCAGCCATTCCCTTGCTAGTCAAAATGTACCGGACATGGATCAAACCATACAACATCTCTGCCGCTGACTCAACCAATTCATTCTGCTCCTCGGTGAACATATCACCTAGTCAAAGCAGGAAAAAGTTACAAAATTGACATTCTCCAATTATGAAAAAGACGAGCTATCCTTTTGAGAGCATGCTATATATTCAGTGCCATAAGATAGACGATATCTACGTGGAAAAAACAAACTGGTTCTTATTTTCAAAGGAGAACAAGAAGAATATTGTAAAAGCAGGGGGAAAGAAGCATGAATTCGAATTTATTGCCTAAAGCAGATTCCATGTCCATTTTAAACTCATGTAAAAGAGATAATTCAGGGGTATCAATTTTCACATCTATCATTTTTTCAAGGCACTAAAATTTGTTGAAAATCACAATAACATAAAACAACTACATGACTATTCATTCATCCCCCCTCCCCAGAAAAAAGACATTCGATGAAGGGAAAGTGGTCAACAACACAGGTTGTATGCAAAGTTCTCTAACTGTGACTTCTGGTTGGACTCTCTAGCATTTCTGATCCTTGTAGTTTCCAACGAAAGTATCAAGGTAGATTGAAGCCATGAAGAATTGGCTGAGGCCCACAACTCCAACGAAGATTCAGAGTTTCTTGGGTTTGAACGGGTGTTATTATTATAGGAGGTTTGTGGAAGGATTCTCCCAGTTTTTCAGTAGCTAAAATTCAGTATTTAACAACAAAGAACAGCAGCTACTGTTAAAACACAGTTTTTACAAATAAAACAGCAGTGTATTGTAGTGGTAAATACAGATTTTATATGGAGGGTCAACTGGACAATGTCACTAAGGATTTCCAACTAATCTGGCATAGAGAAGGTATTTGGAAACAAGAGGTCGAGTACTTGCTACCGGAAAACTCTGCCTACCAAAACTAAGACACAAGGAAAGAAATCGCCTAATGTTTTAGTCTCTACTGAGATTTGAACTCTGGTCTCCCATGGTTTTGATCTCACTTAGTCGTCTGCTATGTCACACCTTTGGCTGCAAGGAAACATCCAGCATCTTCTCCCAGAATTGATTAAAAAAAAAAGAGTCACAAACTGCTGATTATGTATCCACATGTTCACTTAACATGAGAATCAACACCATCTAGATTGTTGAAAGAAGGACGAGTTCCACATGCCAAAAGAAAACAAAACTTGCAGAACTTGTAGTTTTACCTTCCTTTTTTCAGAGAAGATCAGATACCACATCCTTTGGTTGAAATAGTAAGACCAAATAGAAGTTTCCTAGTAATTCGTAGAAATACAAGAAGTACTCTAAACAAGCAAACATACTTACCATGAGAGGATTCAACATCAAGGATCAGGTCAAGTGCATAGTCATAGTATGGCACTTGACTGCTCAATCCACATAGATTAAAATCATCTTGAATGTATTCGTCATCAACTTCACAGAAGAACTCATTTCCACGCAGGTTACAAAACCAAGAAATCCATGATGTATCTTCCCCATCAGAACCACTAACATCAGACTCTTCACTGTCTGTTTCAGATTCATCTGCAAAAGACAAAATATTGGATATACTCTCATATTTAGTTCGAAATATAAAAGAGACAAAATAAAGAATTTATGTCTACTTAGCATGCGGAAATACTAGTTTACAGCTCGTCAAAAGCCAATATCATGAGCCATTTATCAAAAGGAAAACTAAAAAATGACGAACCAACATAAATTTTACTTAAATGATGATGTCAAAAGAGTTGTAGTAATGCGGAAACAAACTAAGCTTAAAGGTTGTTGCAACCAAATACATTAACAATCTCTACAGCGCTACCACCAGCTGTAACTCCATTACATACTCTCTAGTCTAAATTCTAACGGCAACACTTCTTTGAAATTGAAAACTAAAACTAGAGGCAACAAAACATTAAGATGCAACTATGAGTAACAGTAAGCAACTCTGAGCTTCTGACTGGACACCACAAAACATCATAAGCCATTAATAGAAATGGAAAACACCAGGGATATTCCCTGTGAACTTTTCGTTCACCCATGAAAGAATTCAAAGATTAGCTAGAACAAATTTGAGATGGCGCGCTAAGAACCTCACAGAATGAGAAGATGATCACAACTAGTCCATCCATTCTCTTTGAAACTTGATAATCTTTTTTCTGGTCCCATTCCACGCTGCTCTTCGCAGATAAGCATAATCTATTGCATTCAGACAAGTAGTCAGATCTTATTGGAAACAAAAATCACCACCAGCTCTAAGATAACTGAAAATGCTCCAAAGAAGCCCCTAAACATATCCCTCTAAGCAGTAAAGGATTCTGAGGGTCGTAAAACAACTTCTCAATTTACTCGAACAAAATTTATCATTACTGGTATTTTCTCAACACCCCCCAAAGAATAATTTAAACTCAAAATCACAAAATTTGACATTATCAGATCTGCTCATCTTCTCAAGCTTCCCACAGCTACAAGGCAAGAGACCAAATTACCACATAAAACTTATTCCGGCATGAAATGCTCCCAGCCCAACTATGCAGCTAGACTGCTAGAGCGATATTAGACATATGTAGGTGTATCCTTCTCCTTGCATTTCTTCTAAGAGATTTTTTCATGTTTCATACACAGGAGCAACTTTGTTGAGCCAATCCTCTCCCTCAATACAAATCAAACATATGGCCTAATAATAATCTTTCTAGCTTTTCACTAAAATAAAATCACAAAGACACTACACAACGTTAAAGACTACATGTTAAAGCTAAAGCAGCATCTACCGGATCCACATTCCACTAACATGAGGGAAATGAATAATCAACCATTGTCAGCTACAATCTTACCCGATATCAGCAAATTAAACGCATTCAAATATCAAAGAAATTGTTATACAGGAAATGAGGGGAATCCTTTTTTCCCAAAAAAAAAAAAAAAAAGAGTCTAACCATCTGAACACTTGTTCTTCGTAGCGAGACTAGAGGAAGAGCGGGTGTCTCGATGATCAATATGCTGCTGATGCAATTTCCCGGCACCTACGGAGGTAGACGGAACCGCCTTGTCCTTCAAGGCTCTAGATGTAGAAGGTGCAGATTTTTCCAAGTGCTTATCCAACGCATCATTAATTCGCTTCCGATCCAACGTTCCACCAACGATCTCAGACCTTGATGAACCACCACCACCTCGACCCCTATACATTTCTCTCTCCTTCAACCAAACCTATACGTATATAATATATATCTATAAACCTATCAGTTCTACATGTATGAAGCTCAAAACTCCATATAAACGGAGATATATGAAAGGGGAAACCGTGTGTGTGAAAAGAGTAAGTTGAATAGACGGAGATAACTAGGGTTTCATCGACATTTGAGAGAGATGACAGGAGAGAAGCCAGTCCTCTGTACTTCGTCTTTTTCTCTCTCTTCTATATTTTTTTTTGGTTTCAGATTTTTTTTATTTAATTTATGCGATCTAAATACTTTGTTAATAAAATTAAATTTTCGATTTCATAATTCAGTAGAATGTACTCCAAAAAAAAAAAAAAACTTTTAATGATATATTACTAAAAAAAAAAAAGTTAGCATGCTTGATTCAAAAGCTTTCTCGTACAAATCGACTCAAATGTTAATTAATACTATTCTTCTTTACTAAAAAAATATATATTATAATATACTAATAAAATAATGTATGACAACTTTATCTCATCTTAAATAAGTGCTCAAGTTGAAACCTATACAAGATTAGAGTCGCAAAGATTTAATTTATTCTATACTTTTCGTGAAGAAAAAAATGTGTAACCTTTTAATTTCAGAAATGTTTTTTCTTCTAAATTCGTAACATAATTTAAAAGGTTTCGAATTTGAATATAAAAATAAATAAAAAATATTTAATTTTCAAATACAAATTTGAATTAGTTAGCTCTTTTCTCTTCCACATTTTATTGGAGCAATTAGCACTATAAGTTACTGCTTAAAAATTTTCTATAAACGATAAAGAAACCTTTTGATTTTATGAAGATTATAATTCATAAATTAGCTAAATGTACTCATATCAAGCAATTGGAAAGATGTGTTTTGTGTTGCTTTCAATGTGGGTAACAAACAGACTAATTATTGAGATTAATTATAAAGATAGACAAACTATTTGTTAGAAAAATACTAAAATTGATCATTCTTACTTCTTTTATTTACTACATTTTTAAATGATTTTTTCTGAAAATTTACATTATGTATACTAAAATGATTTTTTCTTAAAGAAAACGTTAAAATTTAGAAATATACATAATGCTTACACCAGTATCCATTTTGATCTTTTCCTTTTCTTAAAAAAGAGAAAAAAAACTTTCTTCTGCACTCTTGCTTACGCACTTTTTTTATTAAAAAAAATAATTAAGTTTGTACTTTTTTCACAAACATTAAAAATTTTATAATTTATGATTTTAAAAAAAAAAATTCATTTCTTATAATCTTATCAACAGAGCAAATCATAATTTATAAGCAAGGTGTTAGAATATCTCTATGTTCATTTTATAAATAAAGTTTGCAATTATATGTTATTACAATTAATAACTAGCTATTATTTTAAACAATTCTTTCATATAATATGAACAACCTTTTCACCGAGCATAATTTTTTAAAATATAAATTTGTAGGTCAATAAATTATAAAAATAATAATTGAAATTCACGATTTGAAATCCTAAATTCTGCTTTCAAGAGGATTTGTATTTGAAATTTGAAATTATGATCGCATGCAAAATGGTCTACTAAGTAATGAAACGCACCACACAATTTCATAACAGTAAACAACCAGCTAGTAAAATAGCTAGAGATGTTTGAGATCAGAAAAAACTTTATAGGCATCTGTACAAATGTATGAAGAGGCGTTGAAACAATAGGAAAACTGTGTTTGTGTGACCTATAATTTAAGAAATATTTGAATCGATGAATGTTTGCGCCAGAGTAACCTACGTCACACCCCCTTGAAGTACAATATTTTTTTCGAATCCAATATAAAAACAGGCAACAAAGCAAAGTAACTCCCATTGCATGCTATCATTAAAGGATGTGGTGTTGTGAATGGAGTTGTATCTCCTTTAATTAGAGGTCTTGAGTCGCTTCTCCTTGAATGAGGCCACATACGAAGCAAATCTAGATTAATCGGGCTTCAATACAAAGATATTAATATCAAATGAAAAAACAAAAACCACCGTTGCTAGTGGATTTGCTTTAAATTATCCCCACAACCACATATAGTACAGACAAAGATAAGAGAAAGCATGGGTCCTAGCTTACCAAATTTTTTTATACTATTATAGACTAGTTACTATTTTTATCATGTATAACTGATATTTAAGTGTCATAATAATTTACACACATTACCTTATAAGGTAATATTAAATTGTGTACAGTAAATATCTTGAGATTGCTAGTACATAAAAACATAAACTCAAATCAATCAACAATTATATATAAAAATATGGTAGAGTAATAAAGTATTCTTCCTACTGGACAAGCTATCACATTTGTTAGAGAACGATTTACCACATATTGTCGAACTTTCCAATGCAAATCTAAATTTAATTAAATTTCAATGTGAAAGTATCAGACATCGAGCGAAAACAAAAAAAAAACCACAAAAATAAAGTATAGATAGTAAGGTGTGAAAGGGAACAAGTGGGAGAATCTGACAACCCAACTGGAGTCTATTTGGGTGTCATCATTAGTGTCTCTGCCCTGCAGTATCACATGTGTGTACTCATTCTTGAACTGGAGCAAAAAAATCTTGTGAGAAGGACAAAACAAAAACTCTTGGGAAATAACTAGATAATAATTTAAAAGAAATTTTCTATAGGAAATTGAAATTTGTGTTCTTTCTATATACAGTAAGTATAAGTATATATGGACTCTTATCAAAATAAAATCAAGATTTGTGTCAACACCTCTGAATGTGGATTTAGTGACTGCATTTGGATACTAATGTAGAATTATACTATTGGACTACAACAATATATATAAACACCAACAACATATCTAGTGCAATCCCAAAAGTAAGGTCTGCGGAGGGTAGGATGTACGCAAACCTTACCTCTAACTTTGTGGGGTAGAGAGGTTGTTTCCGAATTCTGATACACCCTTGGTTCACTACAACAATATATATGCTGCATAAAAAAACTGGTTTTCAAGATTGTATTGCAATGCTAACAGAATAACACACTACTCTTAGACATCTCTAAAATCTAAAGCACACAACTCATCCAGAAGAAAATAGATATAAGAAGAGCAGTAGCAAGTTGTATTCTGTAGAGTTCAGCACACTCATCCTTCTTCCAATAAACTTGCTGATTCTGTTCAACTTTTTGTACTCCTAAACTCAAACTCACTCACAAGACAAATAGCAATAATAGGCTGAGACACTGCTTCTACAAATTCCCAGAGTATGCCACTGAAATTCAGATAAAAACAAGCCCTAATGAATCATCTGGAGTGAATAATGAATTACGATTCATATACAGTTATCGCTCTACTAATCAACAGATCTGTCAGTGAGAACTTGAGCCATGCCAAAAGAAACATCTTCCTCTCCCTTGATATTAGTATAGAATCTAGTACTCCAATATGTTAAAAGTTATTTCCTTAATGCAAATTTGTATAAACCTAAAACAACTTGTAATTTTCCCTCCCCCTACCCTAAGAATATAAATTTATTGGATGATCAGGGTTATTGAGATTACATTTAAGACAACAGGATGATTACTAGAAAGAATTAAAAAGTTATAACAAAGTAATGTGGTATGTTGCTATGTAAATTTCTTGGGTTAAATGCATTTCTAAAGCCGAGGCTCTAAACAGTTTCTATTTGATAAGTTCCTCTTCAAAATAGTTCTTCCTAGTTCCAAGCCAAGGTTATAATCAAATGTTCAGATTCTTTTGAAGATGCAGCTCAAATACTTCTAAATACCATTACTCAGTTATATAGTAGCTAAAATAATTTCTACAAAAAGATGGCTGTTCTAGCACAACAATTACATCATAGAAATCAGTATAACTTAATTGACGGTGAACATTAACTAATTCTACCTACATCCCTATGTGAAACCAATACAAAGAAATCAATAACAGCTCTTGACAATCATGCTAACCGAAGAACCAAAAGTTGAATTTCAGGTAACTTTTCCATTTTGGATACAACTCCAGCAACAATCAATGCAACTGCAGAAGAAACATGTTCGATGTCCATAGCAGATAATTGATCCTCTGCTTCATCTCTTGGAATCCCAAGAAAACAACTTAACATAAGGGTATCCATATCATCAAACAATTTTAAAAGCAGACAACAAGACAAAAAACAAAATGACCTTTTATTTATAAAAAAAAGACTTTATAACATCTAACCACGCTAGAGGGAGAGGGAGAAACTCTTACAATTTGTACAGGCAAAATATGCTCCTTGTCACCTATTCAAGAGTTGAACAACAAAATACTCTACCATACTCATTTTGGCCAGTAACATCATCAAAAGGAGTGACCAACCAAGGATGTTATGCATTTGTAGGTATATTAAATCATTTGTTGAGTTTTTCTACAAGCACCGGGGTACTTTCTTTCACTGCTTCTGGTCTCACAATGCCAATTTCTCCTGCTAAAGGAAAAATCTTATACAAGTGTGTTACAAATAAGAAGAAAGGTTTCATGATATAGAACCTTCTAGAGTATGCAGGCTATAGCCAGATAGGAATAGTGGTCTTTGGAGTGCTTCTGCAGCATTTAGCTCAAGGAGACTGGTGTTTTACCCAGAGCATAATCCTGCTTCTTGGAAGTTACAATCACACTTTTCCATATGGTTTAGCAAGCATAATACATCTTCAATCTGTGTCACATGATAGAGGCTCTGCAGCTTATACTTACCGGGAGAGCTTCCTGAAAAACAATTTGGCACTTGTTGTGCCAGCATCGAAAGCCTAAAACCTTTGATATTAAATTGAGTATTTTAGGACCCAGTAGCAAGATGCTTCATACAGCATTCAGATCAAGCAAAATAGGCAAGCGACAGATATGAGACCCATCAAGCACTCAAACCCGCCCAATTTTTGAAAGCAATAAGTGCCTCCATTTTACATCGATTTTTCCTTCTTAACTTTGAAACTCTGAGCTTCTTATGTTTCTCCATGAATGCTTGTTTATATCTCCATTTATCAACAAAAATTTTCATCTCTTGAGATTTCTCCACGACTTGCATTACTGCATCAAAGAAGCCCCCTTTAACCAATGCATACAGAAACGCATCAACCAGGCTACTATCTAGTTTTAACTTTGTTTCCCCTTCTGCAGAAACCTTTCTTTTGACTTCATTCCACAGCATCATAACATTGAAATACTTCTCCACAGTCACATTTCCATTTATTAGAGAAAGATATGTCTGCTCATTTGGTTCGAACTGAAGGAAGGTCATTCTCCTGAAAGTCCTCCTTGCATCTTCTAGCCGTCCAGCCTTGCAGAAGGCATGGATGATGGAGTTCCAATCATGCGTTCCGATTTCAATTCTAGGATCCTCAACGATCTCATCCAAGAAAGCTGCCATGAGCTCAGGTCGATGACTTTCTGTTAAACCGGTCATGATTGTCAAGTAACTCCCTTGCAAGTCAGGTATTCTTGCTTCTCTCATGTCCCTAAACACAGAAAATGCAGATTGAAAATCTTGACATGACATTGAAGCTTCAATTAGAGCATCATAGGTAGCAACATCCAACTGGAGACCTAAACCGCTTATGTCTGTCACCAGTTGAGCTGCTTCAGCGGTTCTTTGCTCTTTGCAATATGCTTTCAGTATTGGAAGGTAGACTCCAAGACCTAAAGAAGCACCCTGAGCATTCATTTCATCAAATATCATGTGTGCCTTGTCCAATAACCCAAGATTAACGCAAGCATTTATGATGCCATATCCAACGGATCTCTCAACAATCACAGATGGAGATTCCAAGGTCTGAGTTTCACCAATCAACGTAGCCAAATCTTTTATGCTCCCATTTTGAAGAAACCCACTTACTACTTCACTATAAGTTACTTCTTGAAAACATAATCCTTGTCCATCCGTTTCTCTTACACCTTGAAGAATAGTTGCTGAAACAGACGCCAAATTACCACACTTTACAAATCCGCTAATCAAATTACTAAGAAAAACCCCTTTATCCGGGAAACCAAATCCACTTATTAAACCTTCTAACTCAGCTATTTTCTCTTTAAGACCCTTCAATGCATACAAATAAGCTAGTAAACCAAAACTACATTCATCAGGCCTAACACCCAAAACTGACATGGTCTCCACCACTTTCTCCGCATCAGTAATCGATTCAACCTCTCGACAACAACATTCTAGTGCAGCATTACAAGCTGCCAAACTAGGTTTCAAGAAATTCAACTTCTCATCAATAGCAACCCTACAATTCTCATTAAAAACTTGTAAAAACCCACCAAAGTTACCATTTTTCCTACAAATTTCCACAAGAACATCACCCCAGAGACTAAAATGGATGAAAAATCTGTTCTTGAACATACACTTCACCAAAGCAAAAGCAGGGGCAGCACTATTAGCATCCCTCATTGAATTCAACAGTACATGTACAGTTTCAGGCTTTAACAATTCTTGTTTCTTCTCTAACAAGAAAACTACTGATGCAAATGCTCTTTTTATGTTATGGGTATCATTCAGTGATGACAAATGAATGATTACTGAATTGGTAAGTGACTTACTTGGGAAAGCAGAGTAATTTGAAAGAGTCTTGAATGATTTCCATGCTTCATCTGTGTTGTTACTTTTGATTGAATCTAGAAGAGTGGATTCAAGATTAGATTTGTGTTCTTGTGCTAAGGTTAGAGGGGTTTGGTCATGGGGTTTTGGTGGGGTTGTAGAAGGTGATTCAGTTCTTTTTAAGGAAAAAATTGAAGGCTGGAGAAAGGAATACAAAGTGGGTATTTCAGGTTGTGAAGAAAAGGATCTTTTTGAGAGATTACAGAAAGCTCTTCTCCACATTCTTGCTCACTGTGTCGCGCTGTTTGTTCGACAGAGAAGAAAAAAAGAAAGAAAAGCTTTTCGCAAAACTAATTAAGTCAAACAATTTTGTTACTAAAATTTATATCAATAGTACTTACAAATAAAATAGGGAAAATACACGAAGTTAATTAATATAGCTATAGTTTATATTAATTACAATTTGAAGCTTACTTTTAATTATAATTACATTCTCTCTTTCGCCTCTCTCTAGAATCTCACTCGTCACTCTCCTCTTTTGTTCCCTTATCAGTTCTCTTTTGTCTATCTTTCTCGCTTTATACAAACACAAATCATACAATTGAGAGAGATTGAATATACAAATACAAATATTTTAACTCGATTCAATTGTATACGAATTCAAATTGTATGCAAATATACAAATACAATAATTGATACTCCACATGGTTACATATATACAATTATCTAATCGTAATAAGCAAACTATACCTATGTAACATAATTAAGTTATTTTTGAGTGGCTATATGCTAAAATTCCCCAAGATAAAACCCCAACCCAAAAAAAGAATAAAAAAGAGGGGCATTCCGAGAATTGAACTCGGGACCTCTCGCACCCTAAGCGAGAATCATACCACTAGACCAAATGCCCATATTGATAATTGTTAGCAAATTTGTGGTTTTAGTATAAAAAAATTGTCCCTTGAAAGAAAAAAACAATTATGTTGGAAAAAATAGAAGCTTTCAATGCCGTGGAAGTAGCTGCTTCATCCATCTAGCATGTCAATGTACCACACCTTGCCATTTTTGTCTTTCATATTTTATTCAATGGAAGGAGCATCATCAGAAATAATAAAATCTTAAGCTCCTCAACTCAAATATTTAACACCTTTTATCCATTTATAAGTAGATTCCATCAACTGGTCAACATACAGTTTTAGAGGAATTTTAAAATGGCAACACAACAATTACTGATAATTTCATCACTAGTTTTATGTGGATCTCTGGTGTTGTTCTTTGCATATCTCACCAATTTTTTACTTTTACATCCAAGAAAATTGAGATCAAAACTTCAAAGCCAAGGGATTAAGGGACCTTCTTCATTATCTTTTCTCTATGGAAATATCAAGAAACAGGCAACCCCAGAAGAAACCAACAATCAAGAATTAGAAGAAAACAAACATACATGGCCTTCCAGAGTGTTTTCACATATAAAACAGTGGCAAATTGAATATGGTCAAATCTTGATATTTATACAACCTTCATTCATATGACTTCAATTCTTTTAGCTTATGTGGGGTTTTTTTTTTTATGTTCAAATTACTGCAGGATCAATATTCATGTATTCATCTGGAACCATACAGATACTATGTGTAACTGATGCAGATATGGTGAAAGAGATATCTTTGAACCTTGGAAAGCCATCTTACTTATCCAAAGATCATGGTCCTCTTCTAGGCCAAGGCATTTTCTCTTCAAATGGCCCTTACTGGGCTCATCAGAGAAAGATCATTGCCCCTGAATTCTATCTCAACAAGGTTAAGGTACATACACATATTTATGCACTTGTTAAGTTTAAGTAGTATAATCACAAGTAGTCGCGGAACTAAGATTTTCACCAAGGGGGTGTCAATTGGCGATAAGGGTAGCTCCGCTCCTGATTGCAAGACTAGAATTTCAAATAGCTATTGATTATGCAGGAGATGGTGAAGCTGATGGTTGAATCCACCAGTAACATGATAGAATCATGGGATGAGAGAACAAGAAATTCAGAAGGAAAATCGGAGGTTAAGGTGGACGATGATCTCAAGAGTTTGTCAGCAGATATAATCTCAAGTGCTTGTTTCGGAAGCAGCTATGCTGAGGGGGAACAAATGTTCCTAAAACTTCAAACCCTTCAAATGGTTATGTCCAAAGTTCCCATTGGAGTTCCTGGATTGAGGTAAAAGGATATTGTTGCTACTTTAGAACTATGTTTAGCTCTGTAAAGTGTTGGGGAAAGGGGAAAAAAGTGAGAAATATCGAAAAAAAAATTCTAGTTTCAAAGAGGAGGAAAAGGAAGGAGGATTAAATAAAGTAAAACTCATGGTAATAGATAATTTTCCCACTATGTTCAGATTGTGACAGGCATATTCCAAGTAAACATAATAGGGAGATATGGAGATTGGACAAAGAGATTAAAGCAATGATATTGAAGATAGTACGAGCACGGAGAAGCCCTACTCATGAGAAAGACCTTCTGCAATTGATACTTGATGCTGCTAAGAGTTATGAAGAGAGTGGTGGTGATCAGCTACCAGCTGACGTTTCTGCTGAAATGTTCATTGTTGATAATTGCAAGAGCATATACTTTGCTGGCCATGAGAACACTGGTCTCACAGCATCATGGTGTTTGATGTTACTAGCTGCATATCCAGAATGGCAAGCTCGTGCCCGTGCTGAGGTGCTTGACGTCTGTGGTACTGAGTTGCCAAACGATTCTATGCTTAGACAAATGAAAGTGGTATGCAGTAATCTAAAAACCATATAATCAAAATTCACATACATTTTATACCTGGATCTCTAACATGTATACATATTTGATTGGCAGCTGACAATGATCATCCATGAAACGTTACGTTTGTACCCACCAGTAGCATTCGTGGTGAGAGAAGCGTTGCAGGATATAAGTTTCAAGAGAATTGAGATACCAAAAGGGACTAATATTGAGATTCCAATCCCAATCCTGCATCAGCAGTCTGAACTCTGGGGACCAGATACCTATCAGTTCAATCCAGAAAGATTTGCCAAGGGCATTGCAAAGGCTTGCAAAGTCCCAAGTGCTTATATACCATTTGGCATAGGGAGTAGAACCTGTGTGGGGCAAAATTTTGCAATGATTGAACTGAAGGTGATTGTATCGATGATTTTGTCTAGGTTTACATTTTCGTTGTCACCAGGATATCAACACAGCCCTGTTTTTAGATTAGTATTAGAACCTGAGCATGGCATCTATCTGTATCTCCAAAGAATTTGACATATTTCTCTTCTTGGATATTTGTCGATACCTGTAAATTGTAATCTATTAAAGTTCAATTGACCTAAGAAAGGTTTTATGAGTAGTTCTTCAGTCATGTTACTTTTTACAAGCCATCTCCTAGAGCAACACAACAGAGGAGCAAGAGAAACTACTGTTGTTACTGTGCTGTCATAAATATTGCAATCATGCTATTCTTCCATTAGAAAACTCAATGATACATGTTCCTTTTCATTTACCTATTTCTGGTCCTGACAAATAAATCTTTTAAGTACTTGCCACAGATGCCACGAATGCTAGTTAGCATCGGTGCTAAAATGAAGATTAAAGAATCATATCAGAGTATACGCAAGTCTTGACCATGAATTAGAAACACGAAGATTTGCATGAGTAGATGGCTCGTCAAGTGAATTCACCTGAGCATGAGAAGAGAAGTAGTCGCCAGTCTAAACACACCAGTGTCTATAACTCTTCTTCGTTTACAAGAAGGATTAGAAACACGAAGATTTGCATGAGGAAACTATCAAAAAACATAGCCCCAATACTCGCCTGTAAATCAACATTCAAATATCTTCAACGCAATCCTCATCATTTATTGCAAATTAATAAATCTATTACCAAAAACGAGCCAAAAGGCCACAACAAATTAAACACAATCACATTGATTCTAACATGAAGGATCTACATTGTAGTTGCTTCTTGGAATAAGTTACATGAAAGTGTGATTAGCCTTATAAATAGTTCATAATGATAGCACTATAAACTTCAATCTCTTATGACTCATGAGAATAAAGATCGACTTCGATTGCGCTCCAGCCGAGCTTCCCTCTGCAACATGCCAGAAAATGAAAATGAAAATGAAATATCAGAAATAAAATGATATATCATGAAAATCAATACCCAAAAAAAGGGTTAAACGAAAAATCTGAAGGCGCAGGAAAGGCAATTCTCTTAAAAAATTATTTAAAGCATAAAGTGGCAAAGACATTCCATGATGTCAATGTCAAAAACACCTAAAAACCATAGACAATTGATTGCTTAATAATATCTTCCCTCCCACCACTACATCCCTGTTTATGCACCACAAAATTAAATTTAAAAAGAGCTCCAAATAAAGTAAATATTTTTGAACTATATAATTCCAAGTGACAAAAAAGAATTGGGAGACTCTGTTCTCTCTATAGATTCAGGTCTGAGTATAGGCTGCATTGATAGTGATCCAATCAAGGACTGGCTAGTGGCAAGAGTATACAATTTTTTTTAGGGCAATGGCAAGAGTATATAACTTAACGAACACGTAAATGAATCTTAATCAGTATGCAATCTTACACCTAGACTTGTTTGTTTTGAGCTGCTAAACAACTTGCTCCCTTTCAAAACTATTAACAGAATCTTGGAGCAACTTGTCTGAAAGTTTTTTACAAGTTCCTTCACACCCATATAAAAAAATATACCACTCCAAGTGTCCATGGAAGAAGCTCTCAAAGTCCATTTTACAGGGCAAAACTCTACATCAGAGGGGTAAAAGCATTTTGTACTTTCTTTCACATTATCAATTTCATCATAACATAATTTCTCGTGCATTTATCACAGGTTAGTACACATATACTACTATTATCCTCATTCACATACAAATAGATGTGGAAGAAAACAGTTAACATGCATACCTCCTTTTTCTTGCATTCCTTGTAAACATCAAAATGTTCTTGGCATTTGCTCTTCTCAGAGCTAAACTGTTCCAAACCTGAAAAGCGTTCACAAATTAATCAATTCCCTGAAACAACTGCATAACAGGGTAGAGCATACATCTTTAAATAAATTGATATGACGGAAAAGCCTTTTCCACTAATTCTACAGACAATGAATATGAATAACAATGATATCTCAAATATAATTGCAAGAAATTGATGCACAATGACTTGTGTATATGGATATAGCCATGAACTCCAACAATCTGGATTAGTAAACCTAAATGCTCCACATTCAAAGGTCCTTCAAACCTTCCACAAAACCTTCATCAAGCTACTTTCATTGCTCTCTGATCGATAACCAAGTATTCTTCAAATAAATTATGGACAATTCTCTACGCAATTATCATTACAAATAAGCTCTGCTCAATTAACAAAAAATATGTTCTTTTACCTAAATTCTTGCGAATATAACTTATCTAACCGAAACAACCACAATAATTCAATACCCAGATAATAAAAAGAGTAATATAATCTTGCAAAATACGTTACATATCAAAATTCCAATAATGATCATGAGTATAATTTCTTTTCTTCTTAGAAAAAATCCAAATACAACAACAACATAATATGATCCGAAGAACAAAGTGGCAGTTGAGTTTACATTTGAGCGAAGCAGTGTATTGAGGATAACAATCCGAATCAGCAAGTTTTGCTGCACTTGGATACGCCGGTGTTTGAATTTTCGAATTTGCCATCTTGCCCTAATTTTCCAATTTCCGGTCTGCAACTTTATTGGATTCAAATTGGGTATTTTCTGTATTTATTCTTCGGGTCGAATTCCACCGACCAACTTTGAAAGAAAGTTGACCCGGAAAGGAACAGATCGGCCCATCTGAATTGTGGTCCATATCACTGGCCCAAATAAGAGATCTGCCTCTATTTGCAAAAATGGCATCCTTTAAGTTTTAGCCTCTTTTATAAATATTTTGCCAAAATAAACATGAAATAGAGTATGAATTTTAACTTTTGCATCAAAGTGGGTGCAAATCAATTTTAAGCGACTTTAAGTTTCATCTTCAACAATTATCGATGGTTTTATCCAATTTAGACTTTTAAAAAACAATTAATTCACTATATATTTTCTAAATAATCAAATTTTTAACAATAGTATTTCTCAAGTTTTTTTTTAGTTTTTCCATCCGTTATTCGATTTTCACATTGGAGTCCAACTAAATCCAAATTTGTGTCGGAAAGACCCACAATGAGGTAAAACACTCTCTAACAAAGGCAGACTATACCCAAAGAACTCAAATTTAAAACCTCTAATTAAGAATGTAAGAATATTTACCACTCCATCGTAAACCTATGGTGTCTTCAATTTTCCACGGAGAAAAGGGGCAGAAAAAGGAGCAACGCAAGTCCAATGAATATCTATATATTTGTACTACTTTTCTTAATAGAGCCAAAAGTTAAATATCAATCCTTAAAGAGACATCAGGTAAAAAATTCTTGCAATTATCTCACCTTTAATAACTTTAAAATGTTGTTTTCAATATATGTGGTGTAGTTGATTGCGAGTAGGAGAATTTTTTAAACTTATTATTTTAAATAAGTCATACGGTAAATATTTGTGTGATTATAAATTAATTTTAGCAGAAAATTAAAAAAAAACTTTTATTTGATTAACACGAAACACATATAAAAAAACACCAACAACATATAAAAAATTGAGTAATAATAGTAGTAACTTTTTATTTATTCAAAACATTAAAAGTTTGAGAAACAAATTGATTTTGTGAAAGAATTTATAAAATAACATTTGGCTACAAGGGACAGGCCCCCCTCCCCAAATTTCCGGAGCCGGATTAAACCCATCATCATGACTACGTGGAAATGTGAATCGCGAAGGGCTGGTTTGATCATGAAAATTATAAATTAAAAAATAATATGTAAATTAAATTTGTGTTTGATCACAAATATAAATTAAAGCTTTTTTTTAAAGTTATTTAAATTGAAAAAGAAAGTGAAAACTGAAAACAGTTTTTATTTTTTTTTTAATTTCAAAATTTTATGATTTAAAATAAATTCAATTTTAAAAAAATAGTACATTTTTCCCTCGCTGACAGCTCAAAATAAAGCTACATTCATTACTTTCCTGCCAAAAAAAAAGGCTCTTATAAAATCTTTGTTTTGCTTTTTCTTGTTCCCTCCTTTTGTCCCACTAAAATAGAGTAGCTGCAATACTTTCTCAAAAGGGTTCTTCAATTTTTCTCCATTTCAAGCTTCATAAAAACTCAAAATCTTGTATTCTTTTTAGTAGCAGTTTCTCATTTTCTTGATTGATGAGATGAATAATAGTACTAGTGCTAGTAATAATGCTACAACAACTGGAACAAAGTTCATCAAATGTGTTACAGTTGGAGATGGTGCTGTTGGAAAAACTTGCCTTCTCATCTCCTACACTAGCAACACTTTCCCCACTGTATGTAAAGATTTAATTTTTATCTCTGTTTTTTAATCTTGTGGGTATTTTGTTTCTTGATTTTTTTTGTCTTGTATCTTTTCAGGATTATGTGCCAACTGTTTTTGACAATTTCAGTGCCAATGTTAATGTTGATGGGAAGATTGTGAATCTTGGCCTGTGGGATACTGCTGGTATGACAAACCCTTTTTTTTGTTAGTATAAAAATAATCTTTTTTTTTCATCTAAGTTGTCAACTTTGGTCTTTGCCATTCTTGTTTTCTTTGTGTTAACAGATTTTATTGCATATGAATTGCTGTATTGTTTCTCATTGTTATTTTCAAGTAAAGAAAGATAAGGGGGTGTTTGTACTTCAGTCAAAATTTTGCCTTAGTGCAAATCTTGAACCAGAAGTGGTAATTGAAATGTGAATGTTGGCAAAATTGTTAACTCTTTCTCTTTCAAAGAATCAATTGATCATCATCAGAAGCAGTCAGATGAAATTTTAGAGTTTAATCAAGGTTATGTTCAGCTTGAAGTAGTTTTACATTAACAAGTAATCTGTCTGCTTTCTGTTCACTTTGGCTAAGTGTTTAGAAAAGTTATCCCAGAATGGTCATCCTCATGGTGGTCCTATTACTTAGCATGTGCATACAATGAAACTCAAATTGAGGGGAGAATTTAAATGAGAAAACCATATAATGTATGGATTCTTGTGATAAAATCTTATGGAACTTTGACATTGAAAAAGCTGCAATGAACCAGATTTGAGCCATTAGTACATAAGTAGTACTTAATGACTAATGAGGAAGATAACAAACGTGTCGTCTTCAAGAAGTCATTCTACATGATAAAATTGTGAGTTTTCAATTGCTCTCTTCACAGGTCAAGAGGATTATAACAGGCTTAGGCCTCTTAGTTATCGAGGAGCCGATGTCTTCCTGCTTGCTTTCTCTCTCATAAGTAGGCCTAGCTTTGAAAACATATCAAAAAAGGTATGCTTTTTTTCCCCTCATCTTTCAACTTTAATAGCTGTTCCAGTGGCTGTGTTGTTCTTTTGCTCCTCTGATCATGTAATCCTGACATCATTTTAACTTTTTTTTATTTCTTGTTATGTTGGAAAGTGGGTTCCTGAGCTAAGACATTATGCCCCATCAGTGCCTATTGTTCTAGTGGGGAGTAAATTGGGTGAGTTTTCTTTCATTTTAAGATTCCTATGCTTTACTAGTAGCTCTTGAGAGGATATATGCCTTTTTCCCTTTGTTAAAGTTTTCCCCTTTTATTTCCCTTAAACACTTGTGAATTTGGCAGATACTGTATATTAAAATGAGTCCTGGAGTTTAACTAGTCTGTTAATGTTTAATCAACAAAAAAGCTAACACAAACTATAATTTTATTTGCAAATATGAATTATGTAGTGGTAATATTGCACTACAGTTTTTCTTCTACCAACTGTTTTTTCATTTTCTTGAGGAGGAGACGTACACACTACATCGGTCTACACTGTATTGTACACAAGTTTACTTATTTCACAGGGATGAATCCGAAAGCCCCCTTTGGAATATCCTCTGGATCTTAGCTAAAATATAACTGAGGGAATGGAGTGAACCTTCTCTTATATGTGCTTAACACGGGGCTGAAAGTTCTGACAATTTTATAGGCAAGAAATTATGCCCATATGGTTTAATAGTTTGTTGTGCTCTGTGATCATATTCTTCTTGTAGACTCAATGCTTCATCTGTTTCTTTAGTTTCATTTGAGTTCTTTCTCACCACTTAGTGTTCAAAGCCGAGCGAACTGATTCAGTACTCCCACTCTCCCTATACTTCGAACTAAGACTCTTCTTCAAACATAGGTTCTCTATCTTTTATTCTTGGGGTACATAGGCTACACCATTCTTTGGATAAGGCTATATAGTAACCAACAATTGTGAACTGCGGAAAGCCTTGTAACATGATCTTGTTGTGTTTGACAATGGATAGTTAATCAATTTGTTCAGCAATGTATTTTTTTAACCAAAGGAAAAAAAAAGACATAGCAGTGTATGTTACATGTTTACTGGTATATAATCTTCCATTATCATATAATCTGAGGCCAATGAGCTGGTTGATGCAGATATGAAATTGAGCTTATCTAGCACTCTTTATTTCTAAGTTTCTATCTAACCAAAGTTCAAATGGACAGATTTAAGAGAGGACAAGCAATTTAGAAGGGACTATCCTGGTGCATGTACAATTTCAACAGAACAGGTGTGTATATTTTGAAAAAGAGGTATATGTATTAAATCTTTCAAAAGTTCAATGTAGCTTATCCAAAAATCTGGTGCATGGTCCACCTTCTTATAAAGAAAGGAAAGTGAAAAGGAGAGCATAAAGTAAGACTTATGTCCCAAAAGAAAAGGAAAACATGAAGTATGAAAGCATCTGGGAATCGACTGTGGTCAGTCTTGGATGTTAGTGAGACAATGTCAAGTTTGAAAAAAATAACATGATAAATTAAGTCAATAGATTACCAAATGATGTAGAAAGGAAAATTCAGTCAAGTTTTCGTCTTCAAACACTCTCTCTCACGTTACAAAATCTGTTGACTTTTTACTTCTCTTTAAAATTACAGGGTGAAGAACTGAAAAAACAAATAGGCGCAGTGGCTTACGTTGAGTGCAGTGCTAAGACGCAGCAGGTAATATTTGAAACTTTTAGTATCATTGGAACTTAAAAAGATTTAGTACATGAAACATGATGACCAATTCTAGGTGCACTTCCAAAACAAGCAAACAATTTAGATGAATGCAGCTTGTTCATTTTACGATTATATATGAACCAAAGCCAATTGAGAAAATATTCTTTGTAATGTAGAATGTGAAGGCTGTTTTTGATACTGCAATCAAGGTAGTTCTTCAGCCTCCAAAGACCAAAAAACAGAAAAGAAAACACAAAGCCTGCTGGATACTTTGATCTAAGTCGCTGCAAGAGAGACGTTTGTACATACATCTTTTTCCATTTTGGTGAGATGTTTAGCCATGCTATCCGTAGATTTATAACTTTCTCTTCTTTTTTTTCTCCCTATTTGCCTTAGTAAGAATGCCAGTTTTCTCATTTCATAGTATGTGTGATGTGCTTGTTGAGTTTATTGCTGGCTGCTTGTACATGGTTTTATATGATGGAAAAAAAGTGGGAAGTTGTTTGTTTGTCAATGTGGTGGTATTGATGTAGACAGAATATGCTGTATTTTATGCAATGATCTGCGTTTCATGTGTTGTTTTGGTTTCTGTAGATGGAAATATTCTTGACATAGTCTCTCAGAATATTCAGGACTTAAAATTGTTTTCT